TGTTCAGCATCTCCTCTTAACAAATCCATTTCTCTAACCTTTCCTCTCAAGTTCTGTTCCAGAATTTTAATTTGGTTGATCTCTCATATCTTTGTTGTAGAGGTTCCAGGTAGTGTGTATGCCTAATCTACCATCTTCAGAATTTCTCTTTAATTTCTAAGTATGTTTATTCATTTATTTTAGGTTGTTGTTGTGTCAGTTCCAATTCATAGTGATGCTGTATAGGGTTTCCAAGAGCACCTGGTGGGTTTGAACTGGCCACCTTTCAGTTATCAGTCCAGTGCTTATCCAATAGTGCCATACTCATTAATTACTAGAAGAAATGCATTGGAAATAAATATGTTTTCTTAAAAGACTATGTTTTATAATCCACAAAGACAATGTTATACATCCTACTTTGGTGAGTAGCGACTACGGTTTTAAAAGTTCTTGAATGGCCATCTTAGGTGCAACTATTGGTTTCTCCCAATCTGGAGGAAAGAAAAATGAAGAAAATAAAAAACACATGGAAATAATTAGTCCAATAGACTAATGGACCATGTGAACACCAGTCTCCTCAGCCTAAGACCAGAAAAATTAGATCATGCTTAGCTATCACTACCAACTGCTCTGAAAGTGATCACATTAGAAGGTCCTGGATAGAGTGGGAGAAAAATGTGGAGCAAAACTCAAACTCATAAAAAAAGGACCAGGCCTTACTGGTTGGATAGAGACTGGTGGGCCCCCTGCGGCTATGACCCTAGTCGCTTTTCAGGTCTAGAACGGAATTCACCTCCACTGATAAATTTTCAGCCAAACAACAGACAGGTGTATAAGGGAATAATAATACTAGGGAGGTACGCACATTTTAGAATAATCAACTGTTTGGGATCAAAAGGGCAGCATTTACCCCAGGTTATAAAGTTCAGAAGGGTTAGGAAAGGAGAACGGGAGACAGGAAACACAGGGAGAGAGAGTGGGAGAAGTGATGTTACACTGAGGGGATTGCAATCAGTGGCCCCAAATAAAATGTGTATGAACTGTTAAATGGAAAACTGACTAACTTTGTAAAGCTCCCCACAGTTCACAACAAGAAATTATTTTTAAATTACTTGGAAAAAAATTAAAAGAGATCTTATATTTTTATAGTTGGTAGACCAAGCATTTCTCACTTACCTTCCTTTCTGGTATTTTCCTGGCTATTTTTATTTCTCCATATAAATTTTATAATCATTTTATCTGGTTCCAGGAGCAAGGCTGAGGGTAGGGACATGTTTTTTTAAAGTTTTTATTGTGAACTGAGTGATATTTAACCTGGAAGAACATCAGCTTTACACCATTGTTTCATTGCAATGATTACAATCTCCTCCATGCATCATCATTTAACAGTATTTGCTTCCATTTCCTCTGGTTTTTTTTTTTGGAGCAGGGGGATGTACACAAAAACACTCAGTAATATATAATAATTTAAACACCCAAAGGGCACATTCTACAAGCCTGCCTCCTGGCCATTAGTACCTAGTCCCTCTCTTTCCATGAGTCTAGAGTCTTTAGCTGCTCCCTCTCTCCATGTCCCCATCTCTGCCTCTATCTCTGGTATCACTGCTTCTCTGGATAGGGTCATGGGTATACTTTTTTGGTATCTTTATTGAGATAACTTTGAATTAATAAGTTAATTTAGGGAAAAATGCTGCCTTCTATGATGCTTAATCTTCCCATTCAATTACATTTTTTAATCTTTCTGATTGTTCAAGTCTACTTTTGTGCCTTCAAGAATATTTTAATGTTTCCCTCATATAGATTTGACACATTTCTTGTTAAGCTAATTATTAGTTTATTTATTTTGCTGTTTTAGTTATAATTTCTTCTAACTAGTTATGTATGCACACAAATATATATATGGAATCCTGGTGTGGCATTGTAGGATAAGCACTGGACTGCTAACTACAAGGTCAGCAATTCAAACCCACCAGCTGCTCCTTGAAAACTCAGACAGTGTCACTCTGAGTTGGATCTGACTCAATTGCACATTGTTGTTAGGTGCCATCGAGTAGGTACCGAGTCATCGCAACCTTATGCGCAGCAGAATGAAACACTGCCCGATTCTGGGCCAACCTCACCATTGTTGCCATGCTGGAGTCCATCGATGCCACCACTTGGCCAATCCATCTAGTTGGGGGTCTTCCTTTTTTTCTCGGACCCTCCACCTTACCAAACCAAATAAATTAATTTATTAATTAACCAAACATGATATCCTTCTCTAGCGACTGGTCCCTCCTGACAATATGTCTGAAGTATGAGAGATTAAGTTTAGCTCCTTGGCCTCCAAGAAGCACTCTAGCTGCACTTCTTCCA